GGTGGCGGTGGCGGTCAGTGTGGCTGTGGTAGCCACATCGGCGGCGGCATTTATAAAAGTAATAAAACAGTCGAACAACAACCGTGTGTAGCGAGAGTAGCACCGGGAGAGAAGGAAAGGTAGAGGAAGGTGGAAAGGGCCCTGGCGGGATACTCCGGGAAGGTGAAAAGAGGAGGGCGAAAGGAGCCAGAGAGAAAAAAGAAAACGGAGCAAAAGAGAGAGAGACGAAGCACCAAGAACAGCGACCCGACCCGATCGACCGGTAGCCCAGCCAGAGCACGTATATCTTGCTCTGCTACACCGCACGCTGATTCTTCGAGGTTCTCATTGATGAATTCGTTCGCTCTTCCGCTCGATTCACCCTCGACCTCCTCCCTTTTTACCCAGCGATAATAAATGATTACCTTATTGATCGATCACCGTTCGTACCGATCTAACGATCGCGCCTAAGATTCTCGGCAACGCGATCAGATAACGCCCGGTAATATCGAGTAGGTGGTTCGAAAGGATGCATTAGAGGGCTGGATTCTTTAATCGCCGCAATTATTAATTCATCGGCCGGCAAAAGTTTATTTCCCCGGTGAAACCAGTCCCGGCGATATCGAACTCCATGGAAATCCGTTTGGCGTATATCGCGAGCGTTAATTTAATCTTAATACCAGTTCCGTTCCGTGGTGGATGCGCGATGGATAGGGAAACCAGTTCTTCGAAAGAGGCATAATGAGATTAGCCGGCGGGCAAACATCGAAAAACGATGTCGAACAAGAGGATACGTATCGTTGAACGCAGGCGCAGGTGCATTCAGGTTGATCGTTTGAACGGGTTCGCAGCGAAACACGCGCTGAAGAGGTTGAGAGCCAGGGTATGTAGAGCAGATGCTGGGCAATGGTGGCGGGGTGCGTGATTTTTCACCGCCGACAGCTCCTCCTTCGAGAACCGCGCATTCCACCTCCTTCCTTCTGCTTCTCTCGCTTCTTCGCCAATCGGTCCCCTTCATCCTTCACTTTTCGTTCGCATCCAACTGCGACCCGTCTCTTCTTCTTCTTCTTCTTCTTCCTCCTCTTTGCTTCTCTTCGTTGCTTCCTCGGTGGCGAACATCGCCAACGTATGCCGCGGACACGCCACTGGACACCAGTTGCACGATCTTAGATTTGCTGATCTCGCATCCTGAGTACAGTCGCATGCAATGTAGGCTTCAGGTAGAGGGAGGATTTCATCAGTTGCTTTTGGCTTTTAGGAGATTAGGTTGCGAGAGATTGAGGAGATTAGGGAGAGATTGGGGAGGGATTATGCCTAAGGAGAAGGTGGATCTTGAAAACATTTTAGACTTAGGAAGATTAGGAGACTATGAAGTGTTCATATCATCCCCAAACTCAGACATCTGCATCCACAAAGCTCCAAATTCTTGAATTCCAAAATTCCTAAGTTCTCAAACTCTTAAATTCTGCAATTCCTATATTGAAAAATTTCTAAACCCCTAAAAAATTAAGTATCTACATCCCTAAATTTGTACATGCCTATATTTCTAAATTCCTAAATCCACAAACCCCAAATCTGCAAATTACCAACTTCCTAAACATCCTAACCCCACAATCTCCAAATCTCCAACTTCCTAAACATCCTAACCCCACAATCTCCAAATCTCCAAAGTTCCCAAATCAACCCCCCAAGTTTCTAATTTAGAAAGAGTGATAATCTACCAATTCCCCGAACTGATTAAGGAAATCCACGTTGCTCTGGAGTGTACGCACGGGGATGCAGTGGTTCAGGAAGGGCAGGGGCCTGTGCTCGCGTGTGCAGCATTGCAGCTTGCACATGCACGCACGCGATACACAAAGGACCGGACGGTGCTCGTGACCGTTCCGAGAAATGATTTTCAATAATCGACCTGCAGTAGAAATGCAAAGGTGGAATGGTATTAGCGGAGAGGCTGAGGTTTCGTGTCGCCCTGTCTTGGTAATTCTGATTGATTCCGTGCCGGTGTATCTCGCGATTATCGCGTGCAACGCGCCGTGTTGCACCTTTTCGGGGAATGGGTGGATCGTTGTGTGGTTATGGTTACATCACCGGCTACGGAAATCGGTATCTTATCGATGGTTCTACACTTTTTCGTTAGGTATTAGTGTTTGCGTATTTGTGTTTCTTATGTAAACCTTCGGATGTATGTATTATTAGATGAGTACTTAATATTTCATTTTTTAAGTTTTAATTAATATTAATGTTATTTGTTTGATATTATTTTAAATTTGTCTTCTGAAGTCTTGCAAGAATATTATATTTGTATCTTATATTTTATGTCTCATGTTTTATAGTATTTTACATCTGTACTATAAATATTAATTATAAATGTTGTAACATTCTGATGAATCACTTAATTAAGTCTTCATTGCGTCTCACAATGTTTTCAAAGTATAACGCAGGTACCTTTATTAGTTTAAATAAAGAAAAAGTTAATCAATATACATAACGAATTCACGTGGTTTAATTACAATTGACCTGTAATGCAATACAAGTTAGGTTACAGAATCAGGTTTTAAGATTTCGTCATGTACTTCAATTTCGTCAAAGATTGAATGGCATAAGGTTTAAAACACTTCGTATTGAAGGATTAATAACCCGTTGACATAATAGTATCAGTAACGTGATCTGTGAAAGCCTAGTCACTTACGTATCCATAGTGTGCTTGTTACCGGTGGAAAATGTCAGGCAACTTTCTCAGAAAAGTGTTCCAGTTGTACCTCGGTTCCAGTCGATTTCCTCGAACAAGGAACTCTTTCTGCAACGTCCTGTAGGGCATGTTTATAAGATATTCATAGGTGTTGCATAACTAGGAAACTGCTCCAGATTTCTTATAATTCTTTATTTATCTGCCCTCACCTCTGTCGTTTTATGTGTATTTTAGACTTACATAAAATCATGGGTCACTGAGACAGTTTTTATTTTTTTACGGTAAACTTGCTTTTAATAATAAGATATGAATACTTCTAATA